TTGGGATTTCATGATAAAACATATGGTCTGGGTGAAAACATTTTGATTTGGAACTTAAAGTTAAAATAAATAGTTTTGAAATTAAGAGGTTTTGTAAGTCTTCATTTTTTAATCTAATGGAAAACAAGCATGTTTTGTTCAATTAAAGGACAGGCTAGAATAAAAAAAAATTACAAAAATAGGTGGTGCCCATAGCTCAGTTGGCAGAGTGCCGGCCACATACACTGAGGGTGGAGGGTTCGAACCCAGCCCAGGCCTGCTAAACGACAATGACAACAGCAACCAAAAAATATCTGGGCATTCTGGCTGGCGCCTATAGTCCCAGCTACTTGGGAGGCTGAGGCAAGAATATCGCTTAAGCCCAAGAGTTTGAAGTTGCTACGAGTTGTGATGCCACAGCATTCTACCGAGGGCGACAGCTTGAGACTCTGTCTCAAAAAAAGAAAAAAAAAATACAAAAATAAAATATTATAAAATTTCATTTCACATGTGTTTCTGGTTGTTGTCCCTTTTCTTTTTTTCCTTTGAGATAAAATCTCATTCTGCTGCCTTGGGTAGGGTGCCCTGGCATCATCATAGCTCATAGCAACCTCAAACATCTGGCTAGTTTTTTTACTTTTAATAAAAGAGACAGGGGATTGCTGTTGCTCAGGTTGGTCTTAAACTTCTGACCTCAAGCGATCTGCCTGCCTTACGCTCTTAGAGTGCTAAGATTATAAAGATTATAGGTCGGAGCCACCACACCTGGCTAGTTTGCTTTTTCTACATATGACACTTCGTGTTCAATTCAATGGTATGTTAAGATCTGTTTGATAAACTAAGAGACTGGTCAAGATAAATAATAAAACTTGTATTGACAGCAATAACCCTATGGCTGTTCCATACAATCCTCAGCCTTTCTCAACCTGTGGGTCGTGACCTCTTTGCTCCATTTGTAACAATAGGGCAATTAGGAAGGTTGTGTTCATGGGCATTTGTATTTTCTTGGTTATTTCCTCCAATGCTTAATGAATTTTGCATTTCTCAAAGCTATTTTTGTTGTCCAAGCTACTTGATAGCTTTCTACTATTACTTATAAATAGAACAAAGCTTACATTTTCAAGATCGCTCTTACCACTATCCTTGCATTTTATTGGGTGACCAAATATTCCCAATGTTAAATCCGTTTGGCAGACTCATATTGAAAGGTGCTTTATATTCAGTTTTTCCAATTCTCTGGGTGCGGAACAGCTCAAGTGGATACCATGTCTATGAAATGCCCTTGCCGTCTTACTACTTATATTGTGTGACAAGGGGCAATTAATCCTTTTAATTACATCTTTAGGTAATTAAATAGTATTAAATTTTTTTTGTCAGTATCAGAATCAGCAGTAGGTCATAAGAGAAGGAAAAAACAGGTCATTCACATGAAAAAATGGAAACCTTAAAGAATTGTATAATTGATGCTATTTTTACTTATTGAATTGGAAAATGTTAATCCTTTTCCATCAAAGGCTGTTTTTCCCTTCTTTTTTTTTGAGACAGAGCCTCAAGCTGTCCCCCTGGGTAGAGTGCTGTGGCATCACAGCTCACAGCAACCTCCAACTCCTGGGCTCAAGCTAGTCTCCTACCTCAGCCTCCCAGGTAGCTGGGACCACAGGTGCCCACCACAACACCTGGCTATTTTTTTGGTTGCAGCCATCATTGTTGTTTGGCAGGCCTGGGCTGGATTCGAACCTGCCAGCTTAGGTGTGTATGTGGCTGGCACCTTAGCCACTTGAGCCACAGGTGCCGAGCCGTGTTTTTCCCTTCTAAAGATCAGTGGTATTCTGTGATTTTTATAAAAATGTTGGCTATAGTTTACTGTCTTAAAACTTACATCAACTGAAAAAAATACCTGCCTCTTGGCGTTTTGAGTATGTTTCTTTCTTTCTTTTTTTTTCAGACAGAGTCTTATTTTGTCACCCTCAGTAGAGTGCTATGGCGTCACAGCTCACAGCAACCTCCAACTCCTGGGCTTAGGTGATTCTCTTGCCTCAGCCTCTCGAGTAGCTGGGACTACAGGCGCATGCCACAACGCCTGGCTATTTTGTTGTTGTTGTTTTTGTTGCAGTTTGGCTGGGGCCAGGTTTGAACCCACCACCCTCAGTATATGGGGCCGGCACCCTACTCACTAAGCCACAGGCACCGCCCATGTTTCTTTCTTTTTAAAATCTAAAAGAACTCTAACAGTGGTTCTCAACCTTCTTAATGCCCCAGTCCTTTAATACAGTTCCTATGGGTTGCCACCCACAGGTTGTGAACCATTGCGCTAAGAAATCCTGTTTTTTGTGAGGCAACCTCTGAAATTCAGCAGTTTTTTTCTTTTTGTGCATAGTTTTCTTTACATTCAAATAAAAATAAATAAATTTGTAAAAAAATTCACTGGTAGCAGAGAAAAGATGGGTACTCAGTTAATTTTGGTTTTTATTTGAATCAGTATAAAAGTCCTGGAAAAATTTTTCACAATTTATTATTCCAGATACTTTACCATAAAGAATTACTAAAGAAATAATTAGATATGTGAAAAAAATACATTAGTCACAGAATTAACAGATAATAATGAAAAGCTAGAACAATCTAAATGTCCAATTACAGGGAAGAAGTTATATATGTTTTGGTTAATTCATATGAGTTATAGGCTCGGTGCCTGTGGCTCAAGTGGCTAAGGCGCCAGCCACATACACCTGGGCTGGCAGGTTCCAACCAGCCAGGTCCCGCCAAACAACAATGATGGCTGCAACCAAAAAATAGCCGGGCATTGTGGC